GTGCAGAGTGGATACCCGCGCCCCATGCGTTCATCTGGACCATTTCCTGTATTGCCACACTCGACAGGCGATACTGGGAGCAGAGTCATGTTGCCATCAATGCAGGGGTCAACGCCCTCGTCAGTGAAAATGCAGACGAGGCAGATGTACTGTTCTACACAGACGGATCCGTTATATGCCAACAAAGAAGCGCATGGGCGTTCACAGCACACTCAGCAGGGCAGAACAGTCAAAAAAGCCAACGGCTCCTTCCCTATGGGGTTACATGGCAACCAGCAGCATAACGATGGAGGTGATGACTAAGGCAAGCGTTCGGGTGGCTCGAAACACAAAACTACATCCGCGCATGTCTACCCAGTGATTCACTGAGTATGATCCTGGAGGGTTCAGGCTGGTTCGGTGCATTACATAAGTCCACTGAGAGTGAAGTCACCTTTATTTTCGTGCTGGGAGACGCCGGCGTCGTTGGAAATGAAAGAGATGGATCCGCTATCACTATCGACGGTCAACCTATGAATCATACTGATATTAATAATAGCCTCCGAGAAATAAAAAGGGTGGATGACTTTGGGGCAGTGAATCCACATCACGCGCCAGAATGACGAACGTAGGAGTTAAGATTGGCACAGCAAAAATCTAGACGCACACCAGGCACATCAGAGGACAAGTAAATCAACGTAGAACTAGTTAGTATATTAGCCAACGGACACTGGGGTTCATACTAAGGGTTTAAACATTGGAGCAGCTATGGATAAAGCCTGAGTTCAGTGATGATAACTCAACTAACTAACTAACTAACTAACTAACTAACTAACTAACTAACTAACTAACTAACTAACTAACTAACTAACTAACTAACTAAGGAAAACAGCTTTTTAAACAATCATGTTTCTATGTTAGATGAAAAATATGTTGCATACTGACCCATGCTAGATAGATTCAGAATACAACGTCTACCTTCTACATAAATTAAAAAGTTAAATGTTGAAAGCTAAATCAAGTATCTACATCACAGCACTCGGGACACTTTAATAAGCGTTCCGTCCCCATCTTCAGCAGCAAGCGAAAGGTTCAAATTTTGTGGCACCAGTAATTTTCTGACTGTATATTCGTCCCGTCTTTTCCTTGAGTTTGAACATAGGCCAGATCCCCTGGTAACTCCTCGCAGCGTCGTTCTCCACAGACCGTATTAATAATATTATTTCTACATTTATTACACTGAACGTTCTGGTAGTGTGTTGGCTAGCATATATATTTTCTTGTCTGTCTTGTGGTCACTTGTTGAAATCATTTGGTGGAAGGTGACATTCACACCGGCTCTCAGGTGAAGCAGCATATAAAGGGACTTAAATTTCGAGCTTGCAAGGAAAGGCTTGGGTCTAGGTGGGCAGAATTATTTAGTTGGAGAAAGACCGGTTTAAAGGCCTCATTGTAAATATAACTAAGATGTTAACAGAAACGATATGCTGGCTTCCTACCGGATTCCCCAATTTCCCTGTGCTGCCTGTGTTTTAAATTTCAGTTCACTAGACAAGTCTCTCATCGCAGTCTGCCTGAAAGAAACTCGGTCATATCTTCTGTCTCGTGTATTTTCATATTCAAGGAGTCACTTACACACTGTGCTAATCTTCGTGTTGGTCGGCCCCTGCCCCTCTTACCTGGTACCCTGCCTTCTGTTATTATTATTTTTTTCAATCCGCCATGGCGCCTGATATAAACAGAATATTTCAGCTTCTGAAAATAAAGGTCAGTATATCTTCCATTCTTTGTCCACGGTATTCTGATAATCTTTCTATAGCAATTCAGCTCACAAGCTCCTATTTTCTTCCTAAAGACAGTTGTATTAAGTTTGCCGCTGATAAAGACTTTGTTGGAAACGTTCAGTTGTATTTCTGGTCGCATTTTATGTTATGTTTAGTACTTCTTGTCATCAACTCGCAACTGCAGTCGGTCCGTATTTACAGTCACTCTACACATTCAAGCGGCGTCCGTGGCTAAGGCGTTGCGAGTCCGACTCGTAAGCCAGCATACCGCGATCGAAACCCACTGCAGGCTGCGTGGATTTTTGTCGTGGTATGGGGACGTCGCAGGTCGACCCAGCCTAAAATGGGTACCAATATGGGCTGTCCTGGGAAAGTAAAACAGCCGGCGTAATGCTGACCACATTACCCACAGAGTGCTGATGGTCTGTAAAAATATGGGACGCTCTGCCCATATGCCCGATGCGCCGAAAGGCGTGAAAAGGGAACTTTACTTTTTTTTTTACTTTATACACATTTAGCCCAGTGGTGTAGCGGTTAGATTTTTTTGGGGGCCTGTGAGCGGAAAAGTGTTTTCAGGCCCTGAAGGAGCTGGACTTTTTCAATTATGACCTAGCCTTAAATGTTTACACGGTAAAGTCCTTGGAAGTAAAGGCGGCCCTATGATGTTGACTACATCTTCGTCCAAGTGCTGATAGGTCTATAACATATAGTATTAGCCCTATATGCCTAATACGCCTGAAGGTGTGGACAGGGTCCTCTCCCTAATGTGATCTAGCATAAATGTGCCCGAACACGCAGTTAGCCTAAAAAGAGTTCTTTGTCCATATGCTGTTGTTGTATTCATTGCAGAGTTCTGATAGCTCATCGTCTGTTAGTTTAGAAAAGCCTTCATAACGTGTGCCATGATGTCGATTCGTTGTTCAAAACCTCAAACTTTAAAAACCTCTATCTGCTAATTTCAAGCCATGTATTTCTCTATTGCAGATCTGGTACATGGGCATAGTTCTGTTTGGTCCTGCTGTAGCGCTTGAAGCTGGTAAGTTTCTCTGGAGATGCGCTAGCGTGTGTCTGTAGGGAGCAAATATTAAACAAGAGAGGAGATTTTTCTTCTCCACCGGGGATGAGTGGTCTCTGAGTATTAGGATCGGAAGCCCGTGAAAATCTTTAGGCAGTTGGAAGTCGAAAAAGAGGTGGCTAACGACGCTGCCAGGGTAAAATTTAGAGTTTAAAATCAACCCAAAGTATTTCAGGATCCTCGCCGGTTCTACGGAGTTTGTGTGCTGCGCAAGTAAAACAGAGCACTTATAAGTTACTATCCTTTTACTATGATGTTGTTCCGTCATCTAAACCTAAACCTAAAGATTCCTCTTCACCTACAAATTTAGATTTTTTTTCCCCGAGAGGTAGGGTAAAAATAGATGTGTGTTGAGGGGAAAGGAAAGTATTTATATCGCAACCAAGTGTTTTAGTAGTGACACATTTACATATATTTATCCATACCCTAAAACTATGGAGTAGTTGCTTACCCAAATTTGTTTACAGTCTGGATTTGGAGTTTTGATAAATCTACATAAATGTGACAATCTAAAGTTTTGGAGAATTAGCACAATCCAAGCCGCATTTACTTCCCAAAACATTTCTTGGTAAAAAAAAATGTTGGGGAATTTGAAAACCACAATCAATTATGGTAATTTCTCCCGCCACTCTCTTATATCTAAGATCGCGCCTTTTTGATAGTCACGTGATACTGATTTTTGTTTCCATTGATCATTGGTCACATGTAGAATATAATAATAATATATAGTTGTTTTCTCTCTCTCCATTTCTTCATCAGTTACTGACTTTCCACTTTGGAGTTCCATTTTTATCATTGAACTGGTTGCCGTCATCTATACTGCATTTGTAAGTACTGCTCTTATTTTCTTTTCTGTTGCCAATAACCAGTACGGCTGCTGTTGGTCTGGTGGTTGGTCTTTTTAATATGCAGGCACGGTTTTTTTTTTTACCTCAGAAAGGCTAAGGGGAACACACACACACACACACACACACACATATATATATATATATATATATATATATATATATATATATATATATATATATATATATGTGTGTGTGTGTGTGTGTGTGTGTGTGTGTGTGTCTTAGCGGGAAGAAAGGAAAGGAAAAACACGGAGGTAGGAGGCGGAAGATAATTGTGGTTAGGACAAACAGTAATTGTTCCTCGCAGAAGAGCGAAAACAGGAAAGTAAACAAAAGACAAGGGACCATGAAATCAAATGTTTTCGGCCCAGACAAATGATATGTGTATGGTGAGTTACATAACAACAACCTAATTACACAATTACACTCACCTAGAAAAACCACGTGCATGAACGAGCTTTATCTTGAATCAAGCAACTGGAACTATAAATATCACATTGAACATATGTTTATTTCAATTTAAGAAACTATCAGCGTGGTTCACAAACAACAACACATGAACGATCAACATCGTGTCTACACAGACCACGCATTAAGCACAAACTAACATAAATGAAAGTACGCTTCTAACGGAAAAAATTAAATATCTCCGAGCGATGATACACACTTATATATCGCTACATAGTTTAATTACTATAGACAAATTCAGGGCTAACTATAGAAAAACGTAACACCATCATTATCAACGATCCTAACTAACCGTTCATCCCCACGCAGCCGCTCGAACACCTGCTGCGGGTTCAGTCCGGAAAGCTAAAATCAGGCCTTTCTGTTGTTGTTTGGGCCAGTCCTTTTTGTGCTCAATGGTCAGACTTTTGGCTCCTTTTTAGCCTAATTAAAATAATCACTATCCGTTCTCTGGCGTCCTGTCACATATATGTCAGATACTAAATCATTATCATCATCAAGTGTCTTCCTGGCTAGCGCTAACAATCATACACACAATAATCCTCACTGTCAGCCATACTCAGATAGAAAGACTTTAGAAGGTGCAAAATGAAGCAATGCGCATTATTCTAGGGTTCACTGGAGACAAGACACCGCTTTTGTAGCAATAAGGTACCTTCTCGACTTCCCTACCATGAACTACAGGATCAAGATCTGGAGGGCTCGTGCATACCTCAAGATAAGCTCAGATTTTCTCTTCAAGAAAAAGGGCAATGGGCTTAAAATGGACAAATCATGGCTGGGTAGGGCAGAGGATGACATCATACAGGTTTGCAGCCTTACAGACACCCATCCAGGTGAGGAGTTGATACCTGCGCCTAAAGCGCCCAATCTCACATTCTTGTCGGAACCAGAATCCAGCTGCTGTCAATGCCGAGGTATGCGCACTTATCAGTGACAAGTCAGATGAGACAGATGTGATGATGTTCACAGACGGGTCCGTTATACGAGGACATAAGAGTGCATTGGCATTTACAGCTCGCTCTTCAGGCAGAACAGTTAAGGAAGCCAGCGGTACCTTCTCCATGACCACCAGCAGTATGACGATGAAGGTGATGGCGGTGACACAGGCTTTTATGTGGCTGGGATCACAGGACTATTCCGGCGTGTGTGTGCTGAGTGATTCTTCGAGCATGATCGGCGGGTCAAGGCACGCTAGTTACGCAGACAGTGGCTTGAGTCGTTGCAAAATTATCCTGTGTGTGCAGTTACTTTCATATTCGTCTGAGGGTATGCAGGCGTTGTTGACAATGAGAGAGCTGATAGACTGGCTGGTGCTTGCATTAATTGAAGATGGCCAGCCCATGGATCACGCAGCCATTGTCATTGTCGTTAGCGAGAAAGGACGTTCTGAGGATTTTGGAAACAACGTGTCCACATCGCTGCTGAGAATATTCGAATTTGGAGTAAAGATCGCACAGCCAAGCATGAGAAGCACACTGGACGCACACAAAGTCTTGTTAACCAACATAGAACTGGTACTATCAGCCGCACGACACTGATGAACATGAGGAGAGAGGAGATTGAGCGCCTATGGATGTGTCCGGAGTAATGTAAAGATAATCTAACTCATCACTCACCTACAATAATAATAATAATAATAAAAATAATAATAATAATAATAATAATAATAATAATAATATCATGATTATGATGATGATGATGATTATGATGATGATGATAACGATAACAAAGAGATAAGGAGAAATGTATCAGGAGGTGGGTGAAGCCCTTGCACTGGTTGCGACGGAGGCTGTGAAAAAACATTACGCTAATATAATTATAATGTTCTGACACTGAAGCCATTAGGGTCAACACGATACAGGAAGAATGAAAGAACATAGAAAAATGCTGGAGATATATGTGCTAGGTAACTGTGTGGGTGTCGGGTTCATACTGTGGGTGGGGTGCGGGGGATACCCACTGTCCTGTAACAAGAATGCCTTAAAAGTTGACTAATTGCGGGTTTTTTCTTCGAAGTCGGAGTGCAAATGACTAAGAGGCAAAGAATCTTACAAATAGGTAAAATCTGTAAAATGGATGAACATGCAAAACTCAAGCTCCGGAACAAGACCAAAGCCCAGAAATGGACAAACAACCAGAACTTTTCGCTGGGGTGTATAGCCGGTGAACGCTAAAAGGAATGGGACGAGGAAACTATTGTAGTAGATTCTCTAAATGGTAAAAGAAAGTGGGCTAGCTGACGGTTTGTGTTCACACGGCCAATAAAGAAGGTGAATATTAATCATGTTTGACTGCATTCTTCACCAGGGTGGACTGAAGGCCGTCATCTGGACCGATGTCTTCCAGGCCTTTGTGATGTTTGCTGGCATTTTCGCCATCCTTATCAAGGTAAGAGATCCTTATCAAGGTAAGAGATCCTTATCAAGGTAAGAGATCCTTATGAAGGTTAGAGATCCTTATCAAGGTAAGACATCCTTATCAAAGTAAGACATCCTTATCAAGGTAAGACATTCTTATCAAGGTACGACATCCTTATCAAGGTAAGATATTCTTATAAAGGTAAAGCACCCTTATCAATGTAACAGATCCTTATCAAGGTAAAACATCCTCATTTATCTAAGTAAGACATCCTTATCAAGATAAGACATCCTTATCAAGGTACGATATTCTTATCAATGTAAGAGATCCTTATCAAGGTAAGAGATCCTTATCAAAGTAAGAGATCCTTATCAAGGTAAGAGATCTTTATCAAGGTAAGACATCGTTATGATTGTAAGAGATCCTTATCAAGGTAAGACATCCTTATCAATGTAAGAGATCTTTATCAAGGTAAGCTCTCCTTACTAATGGAATTCTTCACTTATACCAAACTACATATGTCCAATTCTAACCGCATTTCAGTTCCAAGATATGCCAGTAAATGTTAATTAATAATACATTTGCAAAAAAATGCCTGAGAAAAAAATGAGCCTCGTGAACAAAAAGAGATCAGAGAAATGTCTCGTGAACCGATGATAACAAAGCAGGCGGCAATCTAATGGGCTCATTTTGAAACAAAGCGGGAAAAAACCAATCACAAAACAGACACTAACTTCTATTCATCTATTTATGAAAAACAAAACAACAAAAAAATCGACCACGTTTAATCTACTGGGAGCAGTATCATGTCATAACGGTGGTCTGGTTTCTTTGTGCCAGATAGGTTGACGGAGAAATGTTAATTGCACCAAAACTAGTGGCTTGGAGCGGTACTCTAGTACCCAGTGAGGATTGTTGGGGAGGGGCCGGTATGCACTGTACACACCCACACACATATAAAGACATACATTAAATTTACACATACATGAAGAATTACACACACATATACATACATACGTACGTACATACGTACATGCATACATACATGCATATATACATACACACAAATACAATGCAGTGCCATAATTTTTGGGTCAAGTAAATTACCCTAGCTCTCAGGTACAAGGATACTAGTGTTGTAAATAATTAAACCTATATAGTTTTGCTCATATCGTATTATTTGCACTTTGGTTTGGGCACTGAACTGAGAAATAAATGTACCGAAGATACGCAGACAACCAAGTGAGACGTAATGCGTGGAGAGAAAAGAGTCAGTAATCACAACAAATAATCTATTATGGCAGTGAAGGGAAAAAAAATGATGCTCAAATAAAAGGTCCTCGTATGAATAAGGTTGCGTACCGCCAGGAAAAAATATATTATGCAGTCAGCTCTGTGGCTTAGTCGATGCAAACGCTTCTTAATGCCGGGGTGCTGGGTTAGATCCCAGCTGCGGGAATCAGGGGACCGACCGTCCAGGGAGCAATGGCAAACTACTGGACGTAAATTTGCCTAGAGAAACCCCACAACAGCCAGGGGCTGCTGTGGTTGGTTCTGCAACGTCCTGTAAAGGATACGCAACTAACCATATATTATACGCGCGCGCGCGCGTGTGTGTTATTCCAAGCTCTCAGCGTTGACTGCTGCAGATATTGGCTTGCCTCCATCATCTCGCTGATTCTCCGATTGTCCTTCTCATTCCAGTTGTGATTCCAAAAGTTTCCAATTCTGCTAGTATCCTATCTCCCAACAGACTTCATGGTCTGCCCCGCAGTTCTCCTCAATTTCGCTACTCTGTGTACGCAGTTTTTATCTCAATGTTATTTACTATTTTCTCCACATGCTTCAACCTGTACAGTCCGTTCATTCTCAGAACGTGCGTCCCAATGTCAGGCTCAATTTCTTGTTGTTTTAAAGCCCCCACCTTGCCTGTTGCCAAAGGCCGTATTATAGCCAACTCTAGGGGCTGTACCAGGGTGATCCTCTTGTCAGTCAGCAGAGGACTGGCACTATTAACTGCGCGACGCTGGTGAATATGTTGAAGAGGGAAGCGTCTGGACAATGTAAAGATAATCCAACTATTAACTCATAACTGCCTACAGTCTATTATTCCTCGTGATAAAAATAGTGGTGAATGAAACATATTTTAAATTTCGATGTTACTTCTCATTCCTCATTCTCCGCTGTTTGCATCTGAAGTCGATCCTTGAATTGGGAAGTGGGGGATGGGTGGGGGAGGGGGGACGTCCCGCTCTGTGGCCAAGGAAATAGGTCCTTGGCCTTGTGCTCTGGATGTGGTGGGTTCGATTGCATTACATGTCACATGGTCTGCAGGTGCATGTGTTTCGCAGACCACAAAGGATCGTTGCAACTAATTTCGTGCTGTGCCGAGCTCTTAAGGGAAACCATAAACTTTGCAGAGGCAGATCTATAGACAGACAGGCAGGCAGGCAGACAGACCGACCGACCGACCGACCGACCGACAGACCGACCGACCGACCGACCGACCGACCGACCGACCGACCGACCGACCGACCGACCGACCGACCGACCGACCGACCGACCGACCGACCGACCGACCGACCGACCGACGACCGAGCGAGACGACCGACCGACGACCGACCGACCGACCGATAGATAGACAGATAGATAGATAGATAGATAGATAGATAGATAGATAGATAGATAGATAGATAGATAGATAGATAGATAGATAGATAGATAGATAGATAGATAGATAGATAGATAGATAGATAGATAGATAGATAGATAGATAGATAGATAGATAGATAGATAGATAGATAGATAGATAGATAGATAGATAGATAGATAGATAGATAGATAGAGATAGATAGATAGATAGATAGATAGATAGATAGATAGATAGATAGATAGATAGATAGATAGATAGATAGATAGATAGATAGATAGATAGATAGATAGATAGATAGATAGATAGATAGATAGATAGATAGATAGATAGATAGATAGATAGATAGATAGATAGATAGATAGATAGATAGATAGATATAGATAGATAGATAGATAGATAGATAGATAGATAGATAGATAGATAGATAGATAGATAGATAGATAGATAGATAGATAGATAGATATAGATAGATAGATGGAGATGGATAGATGGATAGATGGATAGATATAGATGGATAGATAGATGGATAGATAGATGGATATAGATGGATAGATAGATGGATGGATAGATGGATAGATGGATAGATAGATAGATGGATAGATGGATAGATAGATAGATAGATGGATAGATAGATGGATAGATAGATGGATAGATAGATAGATAGATAGATAGATAGATAGATAGATAGATAGATAGATAGATAGATAGATAGATAGATAGATAGATAGATAGATAGATAGATAGATAGATAGATAGATAGATAGATAGATAGATAGATAGATAGATAGATAGATAGATAGATAGATAGATAGATAGATAGATAGATAGATAGATAGATAGATAGATAGATAGATAGATAGATAGATAGATAGATAGATAGATAGATAGATAGATAGATAGATAGATAGATAGATAGATAGATAGATAGATAGATAGATAGATAGATAGATAGATAGATAGATAGATAGAGAGACTGAGCTATGTGGAATACAAATCATGATTAGATGATATTATGATGAATATGATCATTGAGAGACTGAGCCATGTGGAATACAGCCACGTGCAGTGAAGCTGGATCTATTCGCCCATACAACATATTTAAACTAAGAATAAATTGAACACTTAATAATACCATCCCTTGATAACCAATCTGTTCTGTCCGGGTTTAGGGTACCATCGATGCTGGAGGCCCAACGGCTGTGTGGGACACGGCTTACAAAGGCGGCAGACTCAACTTCTTTAAGTAAGTTTCATTTTCAACAACCTTGCCCCGTGTTTGCTGTCATGCTTGTACCCACATAAGAATCTACCTAACTAGTACGACTTGAGTTCGACATTGTGTCATGTATTTTAGAAATGTCACTTATTGTCTAGGGCAGTGTTTCCCAAACTTTTCTTTGTGGCGGCGCCTTTTTTTAATTTTTTTATTATTACAATTTTTTCATCAGGCTCAAACCTTAGTAAAAGTATGACTATTCGTATATAAAAGATGAAACAACAAATTAAACTCATTTATCTTCGAATATTTTGCGGCACCCCTGTGAAGAAGTCACGGCTTCCTGGGGTGCCGCGGCGGAGAATTTGGGAATCACTGGTCTAGAGAGCAAAGTCAACGCGAAAGAGGAGCTGACCACCAAATCCCACGTAGTATAACTGTGACCGAGTCCATATAAGGATCTTGTGTTCGAACCGCACTGGGGACATTTGAGAGATAGAAAAATGATCCAGGCTTCAAGTCTGAAATGGGTATCAGGAAACTGATGGAAAGTAAAGGTGACTGCCCTGATGCTAGTAGCAACACCCATTCTGTGCCGGCTAGTCTGCGCATTTAAACACCTAATGAGTGAAAACGTAGAAACCAATATAATGTAGGCTTTCTCAGAGATAAAGAAATTAAGGAACAGTTCTCAGTTACGGTCTCTAATAAGTACCAGGTGTTGCAGCAGTTAGCTGAAGATGTCAACACAGAAGTCTGCTGGGATCAGATCAAAGGAATCGGGAATGAATCTTGCGTAGGTTCTTGGCAAGAAAGAAAGGAAACATAAAGCGTGGATAACACCAGAAACCATTAAACTGATTGAAGATAGGAAAAGTAAAAAGGCAGACTTAAACAATAACAAAACTAGAGCTGCTAAAGCTAGAGCTCAGGAGAAATACACAGAAGCCAACAAGGAAGTTAGGAGGCATATAAGGGCAGATAAAGTGAAATATCTAAATGATCTAGCACAAGAAGCAGAGACAGCAGCAGCAAAAGGAAACCTCAGAGAACTTTACAGTAACACAAGAAAATTAGTAGGTAAATATAGTCAGCCAACTGGATCAATCAAAAATAGTCAAGGAAAGGTACTTACTAACACTAAAGATCAAATGGACAGATGGGTTGAATATTTTGAAATGCTTCTAAATAGACCAGGCCCAGAGGTTCCCCCAGATATCCAGCCTTTAGAAATGGAACTGGATATCAACTGTGAGATACCATCCAAAGAGGAAATTAGGAAAGCTTTAAATCTTCTCAAGGAAGTAAGGGAGGCAGGCCCAGACGGTATCCCAGCTGAAGCCATCAGGGCCAACATAAACACATCAACAGAATTGCTACATAGATTATTCAGTAAAGTCTGGGAGACCGAAGAAATACCAGCAGACTGGAGAGAAGGATATCTTGTGAAACTGCCCAAAAAAGGTGATCTACAGGAGTGTGAAAACTATAGAGGAATTATGTTGCTGTCAGTTCCTGGAAAAATATTAAGTAGAATTATTTTGGAAAGATTAAAAGATGCTATTGATAAAATGCTAAGAGATGAGCAGGCAGGTTTTCGGTCAAACAGATCCTGTACTGATCAGATAGCCACATTACGTATTATAATAGAGCAAAGCATTAAACTGAACTCACCACTTTACATTGGATTTATAGACTATGAAAAAGCATTTGACAGCATAGATAGAGAATCTCTCTGGAAATTGATGGGGCACTATGGAATCCCACAGAAAATTATCAACTTAGTAAAGGCAACATATAAAGACATGAAATGTCGAGTTCTTCATGAGGGAAAGCTAACAGATGCATTTGAAATAAAAACAGGTGTGCGACAGGGATGTCTTTTGTCGCCTCTCTTATTTTTACTGGCTATCGACTGGACTATGAAAACAGTAATTGCTAACACCAAGAATGGAATTCAGTGGACCCCTACAAAACAGCTTGATGATCTGGACTTCGCTGATGATATTGCTCTTCTGTCCCATTCACGGAATCAGATGCAAGATAAATTAAATATACTTAATGCGAGATCAAAGCAGCTTGGTCTGAAAATCCATAAAGAAAAGACAAAGATAATGAGAATAAATCAGGCAAATAGTATTGTGGTTTCTCTTAATGGCACCCCACTCCAAGACGTGGAGTCCTACACCTATTTAGGCAGTAATGTAGATAAAGATGGAGGAACTGGTAGAGATATTAAAATAAGAATACAAAAGGCAAGAGGGGCTTTCATAGCACTAGGGAATTTGTGGAGGTCAAAAGAAATTAAAAGAAATACTAAACTGAAAATTTTTAATTCTAATGTCAAATCAGTACTATTGTATGGGGCGGAAACGTGGAGACCAACCAAGGCAATTACTGATAAATTACAGACATTCATTAACTGGTGCCTGCGCAGAATAGAGGGAATGAAATGGTATGATAGAAAAACTAATGTAGAACTTTGGGATAAATAAACAGGCTCCAGTGGATCAGGAAGTGAGGAAAAGACGCTGGCGTTGGATAGGGCACACACTGTGAAAACAGGAGAACAGCATTACTAGAATGTCTTTGCATTGGAACCCACAGGGGCATAGGAATAAAGGAAGGCCAAAAAAAACACATGGAGAAGAGAGCTGGAGAACGAGGTTAGAAAGATTGGGAGGACATGGGGAGAGCTCCATGCAATGGCGAAGGATAGAACGACTTGGCGTGAATTGGTTGAGGGCCTATGCTCCATTGGGGGATAGAAAGGCAGAAGAAGAAGAAGAGTGAAAACGAATTCTGTTTTTTTTTAAAAAGGTTAATAATTTACAGCCCATAAAAGTTTTTTTTTTTTTTTTTTTTTTTTTTGAACATTTTATATTTTGAACAAATTGTAAAAGAAAATAAATGGATAAAGCCATTTATTATAAAAAGAACTGAACGACTGGGAAGGAGAAGCAAAAATATAGTTAGAATATTTAGGAACAAACTAAGAATTTGGAAATAAGGTAAGTTAACAGTTTAAACATTACCATGATATTATAAGAAAACATCTGCTGTCAGTTCGGACAGATCTGTAAACTTTTACGCTCGGTGCTATAGATATCGCAACCTTTCGGCCTTGATTCCATGATAGATACCCCAAATCTGTGGAGATATGTGGTTTTTTTTGCCAACTCCCCGAGCGTAAACCCGAACCACAAGGAACACGTCACACAGTCGGGAGCAGATGGGTTTAACCAACTAAGCTAGCGTGCCGTCAAGGGAACATTTGCATTTAACATACGCAAACAAGTTCAAATCACAATTTCTTTTCGGTTTACTGTCATCTCGGCGTGCTGCTGACCACATCACCCATCTTGTGCCTTTTGGTCTATAAAAAATATAGGCCTAGCCCTATTTGCCCTATACGCCTACAGGCGCTGAAAAGGGTCCTTAACTTTTCTTTACAATCATCTACCTAGCAGTAAGATACGTGTCGGAATACACAGTCACTACTTCTGACCACCCAAAGAGCTTGTCTTCTTTCCAATCGGTTGTTGTATTAAAGCATAGAAGCAACATGAAACTTTCTAATCTGTTTCACCATGTATCACTAGGCGCTGTCTTTTCTCTACCTTTTCTGTATTTTGCAATCCAGCGGAACTATTTATTTTACTAACCATTTGTATTTTCTGGTCCCCCTCCTATTGTCTTTCTTTTCACTTCCCGCTAGCTCAGTTTTGTTTAAATCACTACTTAGCACTGGCATCATGAGGACTAATAGACTACAACTGTTGTGGTATATAGTAGGGCTGTACCGAATATTCGCATCGGGGCCGAATAGTGGACCTGTTGACTATTCGGTATTCGGCCGAATAGTTGCGGTCGGGCCGAATACGAATAGTAGTTACCTTACACCCTCTTCTGCATGCAACGCCTTAATGCTGACAACATGGAACGATTGGTTTTGTTGAAAGCTAATGCAGCTTTCCTTCATTAACTAAGCTGTCAGTGACAATTTCCAAGTTCAGTTACTTGTTATATTACTTAGGATTCTTTCATTCCTAGTTATTAGTTACCACAGACTGACTGAAGGATGCAAAACATAAAATGGACATGGAAAGAATATAAACTCCGGCCACATCCAAGTCGATAATATGAAAATCAAACAAACGGAAACATATAAGTACTTGGGTGCAAACTTCAACTGCTCCAACATGCTGAGATAAGAAATACAATCTAGAATACAATCTAGAAATAAATTATACGATGCCCTTCAACATCTGCTAAAGTCAAAGTGTCTGTCTCGCAACGCCAAGATCAAAATATATAAAACATTGAACAGACCAGTCTGAAACTTGAAGCAGAAATAAAAGAGATGAGGCCTTAATACAGGTTTTCGAAAACAGTCTTACGACAAATCTTTGGACCCATCAAAGATGCTTACAGCTGGGAATGGGGGGTGAGAAGCAACAACCTAACACATAATCTGTTTAAATCACCTTTGATCACTGGCATTACGAGAGCTAACATACTAAAATGGTTGGGGCATATTGAAAGAATGTTAGATGACAGAGACGTAAAAACTGTATACACCTGAGAGATGTATTAGCGTAGACCACGAGATAGACAAAAAAGACGTTTGAGAGATAATGCCCAGCCAGACCTGCTAAAGAAGAAGGTGAAACATGCTGCAGGAGATCACATGTTGTGTCTTGTATAATCACCAACGCCAATCGGCAAGGCGCCTAATGATAATGTGAAAATCACTATTCGGTACAGCCCTAGTATATAGAGCGTACAAAAAAAGAATTAAACGCGAGAAGATTGCGAGGCAGACCCTGAAGATGACAATCAGATACAGAAAACCCACAGATACTTGGGGTCACCCCCTGGAAAAAGAAGGCTAATCACAAAGATGAATAGAAACGAGTGATATCTGCAGTAAAGAGCTCGAATGCTGAAGAAGATGGAAAAATATAGTATGCAGCTGGTTTTATTTAACTAGGCCTCGTATCTTAATATAATATGCAGCGGTCATCAATATGTGAAAACTTAATTGTTTTCATTTTTGTCCATGTGGCCAGCTTCGACCCAGATCCCCGGACACGTCACACATTCTGGAACCTGTTCTTGGGCGCCATCGTTCGTGGGTTTGGCCTGGGTTTTAACCAAAGTACAGTTCAGAGAATCAGCAGCACCAAGACAATCAATGACGCCAAAAGGTAATCACACCTGTGTATGTGTATGTATGTGTGAGTGTGTTTGTGTGTCACTATATGTTTATTATGCTTTAGTTTGTGTGTTATTATGCACTGACACTGTAAGTCACATTGTGTGTGACTGAGTGTCACTGTAAGTGCCATTGTGTGTGACCGAGTGTCGATGTAAGTGCCACTGAGTGTCAGTGTAGTCGTAGTCCTCTGCCATTAACGTGTGAAGGTACAGTGACATCCTAACTTCCTTTTTTGCTGCTCCTATGCCATTCCCAGAATGCTGTTCAGCGTGGCGCCATGTTTCACCATTTCCCTCATCATTTCCGCTTACGAGGGAACTGTGGCCTACGCGTACTACCAGGCAAAAGGCTGTGACCCCTTTGAATCAAAACAGATCAACGACCCCAATCAGGTAAGCGTATCCGTGGTCTCTCTCTCTCTCTCTCTCTCTCTCTCTCTCTCTCTGTGTGTGTGTATGTGTGTATGTGTGAGATGGGAGTTTGAAAGGGCCGAATGTAAGACAGGCCTGCGTGCCTAATTTGTGTCCCTTTGAAAATAAAGTTCGTTCGTTCTCTCTCTCTCTCTCTCTCTCTCTCTCTCTCTCTCTCTCTCTCTCTCTCTCTCTCTCTCTCTCTCTCTCTCTCTCTCTCGGTAATATTTAATATAATATACAAATTTATAAAGGTCTCTTTTTCACGCCTTTAGGTTTATTGGGACTAAAGGGCTAGACCTATATTTGTATAGACCGATAGGCACTTGGTGAGTGATGTGTCAGCATCACACCGGCCGCCTTTACTTTCCAGGACTGCACCCGGTACCCACTCAAATCTGGGTCGACCTGGCAGTCGAGGTCATTTTGGAAAAAAGTCCTATTCCGTCAGAACGCGAACCCAGGACCTTCCGATCAGCAGGCAGGTGTTTAGCCGCCAGCGCTACGGTGACTCCTATATATATATATTTATGGGTGTGAGTGTGTGAGCACTGTTATGTAATACGCGGGTAATGTGTGTGGGCCCGTCAATGTGCATGAGTGGACTTGATGGTGTTTGTGTGTCGAGGTAATGTAAGTGCAGTGTTAACATGTGTTTGTATGTATGTGAGTGGGGTGGTGTTTGTGTGTCGAGGTAATGAAAGTGCAGTGTTAACATGTGTTTGTATGAATGCATGTGAGTGCGGTGGTGTTTGTGTGTCGAGGTAATATAAGTGCAATTTTAACATGTGTTTATATGAATGTATGTGAGTGGGGTGGAGTTTATGTGATGTGTAGTTAAGTGGAGTCAGTGTATGTTTGTATGTAAGTGAGTGGGGTGGTGTTTGTGTGTCGAGGTAATGTAAGTGCAATGTTAACATGTGTTTGTATAAATGCATGTGAGTGCGGTGGTGTTTGTGTGTCGAGCTAATATAAGTGCAATTTTAACATGTGTTTGTATGAATGTATGTGAGTGCGGTGGAGTTTATGCGATGTGTAGTTAAGTGCAGTCAGTGTACATGAGTGGAATTTGTTTGTGAAGACCCAATGTAAGTAAATTGTTCACGTATTTTGGGATGAATCTATGTTTATGTTTATTCAACGGATCGACATCATGGTACATGGGTGTAACCCATAAGTGTTCCCTTCTTCTTCTAACCCAAGCCTGAGTCTGAAGAATCTTGGAACAGTGCACAGGCTCGGTAGCACCGGCGAGTATCTTCAAATACTTTTAATCGATTTTTAACTTAAAATTTTGCCTGGGCAGCGCTATTAAGCTACTCTTTTTGATTTCCGACTGCCAAGGCATTTTTGTCACATGCGCAAAAATACACACGAGCGTCCAATTTTACTACATAGAGACCAGGGGGAAATTAATAAAAGTCTGCGTAAAAATAAATCCTAGCCTTCACTGGGGCTTGAACCCGGGACCTCTAGCATTTGAGGCAGATACCATGCATCGAGACATGCAGCTCCCTGTGTGACTGTGGTTAGGATGTTTGTGGAGTTGATGTGTGTCTGTGTGTAGAGCGTCTAAGGTAGAGAGGTAGACGTCCAAAATGTTCTCCGCTCTAATGGCACACACAAGAAAACAGCTAGTTAGACCCCAGACAAATGGACAGACTAACGAACAGACGAACGGACAGTCATTGTTTCGACGGATGGAGGACGAACGGATATACTGAGGACGGACAGACGGATTGAGGACGAATGGACGGAAAGAGGACGGACGAACTAATAGATGGATGGATAATGAATGGATGATTAGACACACAGACAGACAGGTAGACGAAAAGACATCCAAACAGACATACAGACAGGTAGTCAGAAAGACGTACAGACAAACAGACTTACAGACAGATAGTCAAACATCAATTTTTTTAAACTGTAATTTCTGTATTCAGATTGTTCCATATATGGTAATGGACATATTTGAATACCTACCCGGCATGCCAGGTCTATTTCTAGCTGCTTTGTTCAGCGCATCTCTCAGGTATCTATGCTTTTGTTTGAAAGTTTGCTGCTGCTGCTGCTACTACCACTGCTGATGCTGCTGCTGTTACTGCTACTACTACTGCTGTTGCTACTGTTACTACTGCTACTACTAAAACTACTGCTACTACTACAGCTGCTGCTACTGCTGCTACTACTATTACTACTACTGCTACTATTACTGTTATAACTACTATAGCTACTACTACTGCTTCTACTACTACTCCTACTACTATTATATTACTATATCTCCTACTGCTGCTTCGGCTACTAATGCTGCTGCTGCTGCTGCTGCTGCTGCTGCTGCTGCTACTACTACTACTGCTACTACTACTACTACTACTACTACTACTACTACTACTACTACTACTACTACTACTATTATTATTACTACTATAGCAACTACTACTACT